AATTTCGGCACAGTGATGGCTTTTCCTACCATGATGCTATACACCGACTATCACGAGCCTAGGGAGAGCCGTTTAGATTTGTGCCGCAATTCTGCATTTCCTCCCTATACCTTAAGTTAAGGAGTGAATGTTCCCCCTTCTTTTACACCTCTTGACCTTTGACCTTTGACCCCCAGCTTCGACAGCCCAACTCGTTTTGACGATCCCCCCCAATGTGCCGAATATCGTGACCGTACGTCGAGCGGTTAAGATTTGTGCCCAACTGTTGACGGACGGACGATTGGACGATCGGACGATCGGACGATCGGACGATCGAACGATCGGACGATCGGACGATCGAACGATCGGACGATCGGACGATCGGACGGACGATCAAGCGATTCTACAAGCTGCATCTGACTATGTCAGATGAGCTAAACATAGTATTTACCCTTCACAAGCAATTTATATGCTTTAAAGGGATCGTTTACTCTAGGCTCTAGGGTTATTTTCAGTTAATTTAGGTTAAAATTTCGCTACATAAAAAGTTTCATGGTTCAATCACCATTAGAAATATTATTAAAAAATGTTTTAAAACTAACGACTACAGTTTGATTACAACGACGGTGGCGGCACTCAAAGCGCACGATCTGATAAGTTCAGGAGTCTATCAATATATATAGACTCCTGATAAGTGGCACAAAACGACTTTTCAGCCAAGGGCTACAGACCGAGGGTGTTTCTTATTTATTAATTTAAAAGCAAAAGGATTGTAATATCTTATAAATGACATATAGTTTCAGTTATATTATGGATAAATTTGTCCTAAAATAAACATCGTTCGGTTAAATAGCATTTAGGTATAAATATAATTGCACCTTTGTGATTAGGCCTCGGTCTGTAACGTGAAAAATATATAGGGAAATGCGCAACTTTTTCAGGGTGGCAGCACGGTCGCGGGTGTCAATGGCGCCGTTCAAATTTCGTAGCGTTGATGTATAATTAATTATAACAATTAAATTAGGTATCTGGTAACAAGTACGTGTGAGTATAGACAATTTGTTATACAGTAAAATCCTAGAGTCTACTATCCCTTTAAGTTCTGTGAGAACATCTTTGGACATAGAAGTAAAAAAGTGAGTGAAAATGAGGCCTGGAGAGCTTGGTGATAAATAAAATGGCGAAGGAAACTAAGATGACAAAAGCAAACAGATGTGCTAGAAAGGAGCTGATGAAATTATTTTTAATCTAAATTTGATCTTGGAGTGTAGCAATGTAACTAGTCACTAATATTTTAGTTCAAAAGAGGTGCTTTATCCAGATAAATAATTTAAAATCAAGTTAAACTTTAAGCTACTTTTAAAGCAAGCTTACATGGCACAGGAATTAATTGTAACATGTAAAAAGCATTATTACTCTTCAATCATAAGAAAGAGAAATAGGCTAGCAACTGCAGTGAAAATTTACAGAAAGCCATACAGTAAGATAACTCACATTCCTCATCTCTGTAAATACGTTCATGTAATCAATCACCTTAGCACTGCCAATTGGCTTTCAATATTCCTGGACTGCCTCTATACGATTACATTGACATTAATAACCAGGGACGAGATTCATCAACGTTGCGTAAAGTGTATTGCGTACACAGGGTTTCTACGAAGTACGTACGCAAAGCTCGTAGGTGCGATTCATCAACGCAGCGTAGCACCTGCGTACGCAAATGTTGATGAATTCCAGTGTAAATCCACTACGCCATTGTAGCTGCTGGTTGTTGAGGGGCGTGCCTAGCATAAACCAATCACGCTGTGCGACACATACCATATCAACCAAACTGACGCCTCTTTTGTATGTAAAACATATGGCTCTAGCTCTGTCTACAGGAGTGCTGGGGGATGCGATAGTTGTCCTCATTTTCGTTTGTATGATTGCGTTCAACACTCGATGAAAGCAACGACACGTGCGTGCGTGCATGCGTGCGCACGTACACGGCTAAATACGAACTCGCTTATAACGAAAACAATGCCAAGCTATGACAAAAGAAGCGTCAAAGGCGCCGCCTGTCTGTGGGGTATGGTAATTATTTATTTATTTTTAGTTAAGTAGTGCGTGTGCATGTACACGTGCGTGCGTGTGCATGTACAAGTGCGTGCGTGCGTGTGCACGTACACACTACGAACTCGCTTATAACGAAAACAATGCCAGGCTATGACAAAAGAAGCGTCAAAAGGCGCTGCCTGTTTGTGTAGTATGGTAATTATTTATTTATTTTTAGTTGAGTATTAATTTTATAATGTTTTCCCAATAAAATAATGAATGTTGCGATATGCTGGAAACGCTTGCGGAAATTTCGAGTGGTTTACGGCACCTCTTCAGCCTGTGTAAAGTTATGCAAAGGTTTACGTAAATTTTAGCTTGATGAATCGCACCTAAAACGGCTTGTTACATGATAATAGTTGATTTTACACTGTGTTTATTTCTTTTTTTTTGCATTAAAAAATATAAATTTCAGAGATTTCTTGCTGTCCGTAATTTTTCGAGGTCGTCCGTAACACCGTAATTTTAACTCGCGTCCGTAACAAATTACGGGCAATACGTAACAGTTGACAGGTCTGAATATGTACGTTGGAAGTACTTTTGTGTACACATTGATTTGACCACAAGTAAAGAAATAGTGCAGTGCGATCGTCCGGAAGGGAGTATAAACGTTGCCTTTGGTTTTTATTTGGTGTACCGTAATCATGTTTGCATCATATGCACAATTACATTATAAGGCATCTGTTATTAAACCATGACTCGAAGTTAGTAACTTGATCAAGAGAGAAGTAGGGCAGTGCATCACAAATCACCAACACTCCTCATCACCATAACTGACATCACTGGCACAGCTGCAAGACATTAGCTGACTATCTGTTTATTGTGAGGTGATACCTGTAGTTTATTATTGAATTGTTTGGCTACTGTATCATACGTTCTAGCCTATATCACCAGATTGTAAAATGAATGAGGGAAAAGGATTTCACAAGTTGGGGTGAATGGTTAAACTAGCCATTGAGCTGTCGGGTTTATTGAGTTAAATGCAATAAATTACAAACAGATTAGGGCTAGTGAATGTTGAATTTCTAATAATTAAGCCTTGGAGACATCTTTGTCTTTATTTGTTGATGACATTATTAACACAAGCAATAGACATAAGATCAATTTCAAATATAATTTAAAGGTCTAAACTTAATACTTTTTTAATTTTCATCAGAAGTATTAAAACAAATTGACAGTAACCTATAAACTGCACACTTTACTGCTTTACTAGAAAACGTGGAAAATACATCTGTAACACTAACGACTAATGACTATTCATCAACTAGTAAATATATTTCATACGTGAGATTTCATTACATCACGTAACATAATAGCAATACTACTCAAATTTAATGCTAGGTATTTATAAGGTCTGCTTACCCTCATCAGTGTGGAGCTCCATCTGAGTATGCTCAGAGTGCGACAACTGGAAGAGATTTTTAAAATTCAATAGTGTGTGGAGAGCGAACCTATCCACCTAAACCATGACAAGGATAACCATGCAGCCTTTGGATATTTTTGCTAGCTCAGTCAAGCTGACCCACTTTGTGTATAGTTTCACACATATCCACATCAAAATGTCACATTTGCTGCACTTCACAATACTAAGAATTCTCTTTTATTTAGCTTAGATTATTTAGATTTATTTAACTTATCACAAAGCTGGTTCGCTATAGCTGTCTGTCGATCACGGCAGGACAATAGGAAAATTATCACCACACCTCCGAACTTATACAGAAATTCATCAAGCTATGCCTTATCCTGCCTTACACGTGAACCAACCCACCTTGAGTTGCTGCAGCTGGGCAACAGTCAGATCCTTGACAGGAATCTTGTATAGCTCGTCGTCTTGCTCCGAGGAATCCCGTCTTCCATGGCTCCCATAGCTGATACTAGTGTTCCGTCTCTGCACAAATACATGCTTGTTAGCGCGCATTGCACGTGCTGCTGGGCATTAATGCAAGTATCGCGCAGTGTCAGTCCGAAATACATGAAAGAACACACATGGTGACTGCTCATTGATGCTCTCATTCACAGGGTTTTTAGTTTTAGCTAATATATTATATATTATTCAATGCAATTTGCTTGAGTTAGAGCAATTTTGCTTCAATAGGATTTAGCTATAGTAAGAGTTGAGACAGAAAGTGAGGCAGGATAATATATAGGAGTCAGGGCATGAGGCACAGTAGGCATCAGGACTGAGAATAACTATACAGAATAGCTGCGCCTCTCTACCTTCTTCATTGCTATGCATACAGTGAAGTCATGGAAGACAATTGGCACTAGGTCCTTGGAGAGCTGCACATCAAACTCCACAAAATCTGCACCCTGTGACAATAATGATCATAAGTACAAGCAAGCAGATTCTTCAGTCTTACAGTTCTCTCACACGTGGTCAGGCCAGCTGCACACTAGCCACTGCCACCTGCAGGCTATAGCAGATCCATCGGCAGCAGCTGTAAAGATAGGTTCCAACGTGACAGTAGCAAAGTGAGATGCGACAACTGTGAAATGTCATACGCAGAAAACGCTAGAGGGACACGGGTCCTATCCACTACATCAATGTCTATGAGCATGCGCGCGACGCCACCACCGATAGCAGATACTCACGTGGCTTCCAGCCTTGTTGAGAGATGCGATCGTGTTCTCCCGCACGACCGCCGTCCTGCAAGCATATCACACATCAGCCCACCAACTCAACTGTAACGTAGCTGTTACAAACCACTCGCATACCTTACTGCGAGTAGTAGCCAATTATCATGAATGAATGTCTTATAGAGATCTCTACAGATAGTGCTCACTTTCATGGAATAACGATGTAAAGCTATTTTACACTTCTAATTTATATTTTATTTTGTACCAGATAAATTTTACTCAATGTAGAGAACAATCACAGGTTTTTATGTTTTTCTGTTGTACATCAAATATATTGTATGTATTGTTGACTCCCGTCTCGGCATGGATTGCAGTACATAGATTCACACGTGAGGGTGTCAGTGCAAGCCATCAGCATTACCCCGACAACACATAGGATGAGCCTACTCCGCGGTGACCCACGTCTAGGGGGCGCCGCGTGCGCTTCCAGTGGTGCTTGTATGTTGTTCGCATGTTGCACAGCTGACTTGGCAATGGTGTCACGACCAGGTACTCAACTGTAATAACAGCAATTAGACACGATGTACAACCTGGCTGGCGAGACAAATAAGAATCACTTTGCTCTGTTCATGGCATAAAATGTCATAAATGTTTAGGAATGATAGATAATATCCTGTATATGTCACAGGATGCTAATAAGGTGTTACCATGTCCAAGTAGGCAAAATTGCTTAGGGTAGCTGCGTTGTTAGGGGAGTTGAGAATCACTACCTGTAAGTTGGCCTAGAGGGATGTGTCCAACACCTGTAATTGGTACATGGCTGATTCTATGCATGTCCTTCATTGTCATTGGAAGAATGTAGGCGAACCCCTTGTGCTCAGGAATAGATGTGTCATCGAATGGATTGTACTCATAAAAGTCCACAGTGAATGCCTGCAAATGAAAACAAGTGCCGCATAGCGACAGCGCTCATCTAACGTCTACTGCGGTGACTCTGTGGTGGAGTGGTGGGATTCTAGTAAACCCTGTTAGTCCCAAATGTGTTCACATACACGCCGAAACAGTGGAATGCACAGAGATGGTATCAGGAACCTTCATAAAAGAATGTTCGTTGGGATCGTTATTCGCAAGCGTTTCCAGCATATCGCAACATTCATTATTTTATTGGGAAAACATTATAAAATTAATACTCAAACTAAAAATAATAAATAATTACCATACTACACAAACAGGCAGCGCCTTTTGACGCTTCTTTTTGTCATAGCCTGGCATTGTTTTTCGTTATAAGCGAGTTCGTAGTGTGTACGTGCACACGCACGCACGCACTTGTACATGCACACGCACGCACGTGTACATGCACACGCACTACTTAACTAAAATAAATAAATAATTACCATCACCACGAGACAGGCGGCGCCTTTGACGCTTCTTTTTGTCATAGCTTGGCATTGTTTTCGTTATAAGCGAGTTCGTATTTAGCCGTGTACGTGCGCACGCATGCACGCACGCACGTGTCGTTGCTTTCATCGAGTGTTGAACGCAATCATACAAACGAAAATGAGGACAACTATCGCATCCCCCAGCACTCCTGTAGACAGAGCTAGAGCCATATGTTTTACATACAAAAGAGGCGTCAGTTTGGTTGATATGGTATGTGTCGCACCCGCGTGATTGGTTTATGCTAGGCACGCCCCTCAACACAGCCAGCTACAATGGCGTAGTGGATTTACACTGGAATTCATCAACATTTGCGTACGCAGGTGCTACGCTGCGTTGATGAATCGCGCACCTACGAGCTTTGCGTACGTACTTCGTAGAAACCCTGTGTACGCAATACACTTTACGCAACGTTGATGAATCTCGTCCCTGGTTATTAATGTCAATGTAATCGTATCAGGAGTCTATCAAAAGGAGTAAGGCACGCTAAAACCGGCAAAATTCAACATTTAGTAGCCTTAGTCTACTATGATTTATTGTGTTTACCTCGATAAACTTGAGCTCAAGTATTGCCTTAATCATTAAACTTTATCCGTGTCAATCGTTGGTCTCATAAAATGACAAATCCGAAGATATCGGTTCAAACGTACAATTGGTGGTTTATCAATTTACATCGCTTTGTGATGATCTGTGAACCGAAACATAAGGGCAATGCTTTTGAAAGCCCTCTATCGTTTAGCAATGCAAACATAGCAAAGAACTAGCGAGGGTGCTAGGGATTTCGGAAAGTTAAACACGCCTTGTTGTTATTATAGGCCTGTCGAATGACAGTAATTACATGTTATGAACAATATTGTTAAGAACAAATAAATGGATAAAAATACTAAACATGTGAAATTTTTTATTTCTAATGTGAATAGCATCAATAACACCACGTCGTGTTTAACTTTTCCGAAATCCCTAGCAAACCTCGCTAGTTCTTTGCTATGTTTTGCATTGGCTAAACGATAGAGGGCTTTCAAAAGCATTGCCCTTATGTTTCGGTTCACAGATCATCACAAAGCGATGTAAATTGATAAAACCACATTGTACGTTTGAACCGATATCTCCGGATTTGTCATTTTTATTGAGACCAACGATTAGACACGGATAAAGTTTAATGATTAAGGCAATACTTGAGCTCAAGTTTTATCGAGTGGTAAACACAATAAATCATAGGTAGACTAAGGCTACTAAATGTTGAATTTTGCCGGTTTTAGCGTGCCTTACTCCTTTTGATAGACTCCTGATCGTATAGAGGCAGTCCAGGAATATTGAAAGCCAATTGGCAGTGCTAAGGTGATTGATTACATGAACGTATTTACAGAGATGAGGAATGTGAGTTATCTTTACTGTATGGCTTTCTGTAAATTTTGACTGCAGTTGCTAGCCTATTTCTCTTCTTATGATTGAAGAGTAATAATGCTTTTTACATGTTACAATTAATTCTGTGCCATGTAAGCTTGCTTTAAAAGTAGCTTAAAGTTTAACTTGATTTTAAATTATTTATCTGGATAAAGCACCTCTTTTGAACTAAAATATTAGTGACTAGTTACATTGCTACACTCCAAGATCAATTTAGATTAAAAATAATTTCATCAGCTCCTTTCTAGCACATCTGTTTGCTTTTGTCATCTTTAGTTTCCTTCGCCATTTTCTTTATCACCAAGCTCTCCAGGCCTCATTTTCACTCACTTTTTTTACTTCTTATGTCCAAAGATGTTCTCACAGAACTTAAAGGGATAGTAGACTCTAGGATATTTTACTGATAAACAAATTGTCTATACTCACACGTACTTGTTACCAGATACCTAATTTAATTGTTTAAATAATTATACCATCAACGCTACGAATTGAACGGCGCCATTGACACCCGCGACCGTGCTGCCACCCTGAAAAAGTTCGCGCATTTCCCTATTTATTTTTTCACGTTACAGACCGAGGCCTAATCACAAAGGTGCAATTATATTTATACCTAAATGCTATTTAACGCCCGAACGATGTTTATTTTAGGACAAATTTATCCATAATATAACTGAAACTATATGTCATTTATTAAGATATTACAATCCTTTGCTTTTAAATTAATAAATAAGAAACACCCTCGGTCTGTAGCCCTTGGCTGAAAAGTCGTTTTGTGCCACTTATCAGGTCTATATATATTTGATAGACTCCTGAACTTATCAGATCGTGCGCTTGAGTGCCGGCCACCGTCGTTGTTAATCAAACTGTAGTCGTTAGTTTTAAAACATTTTTTAATAATATTTCTAATGGTGATTGAACATTGAACTTTTTATTGTAGCGAAATTTTAACCTAAATTAACTGAAAATAACCCTAGAGAGCTAGAGTAAACGATCCCTTTAAAGCATTATAAATTGCTTTGTGAAGGGTAAATACTATGTTTTTCATTTGCAGGCATTCACTGTGGACTTTTATGAGTACAATCCATTCCGATGACACATCTATTCCTGAGCACAAGGGTTCGCCTACATTCTTCCAATGACAATGAAGGACATGCATAGAATCAGCCATGTACCAATTACAGTGTTGGAACACATCCTCTAGGCCAACTTACAGGTAGTGATTCTCAACTCCCCTAATCACGCAG